GGAAGCCAAGAGATATTTCCAGATCCTGCTTCCATCTCAAGTAGTTTGATCCGGTCAGAGTTTCGATGGTGTTGTGGTTCATTGTAAGGATTTTACAAATCATATAAAAACTGTCCCCAAAAACTTTACTTAAATATGTCAGTTTATGCCTATGGGTTTAAAAAGCCATATTCCAAAATCCCAAACAGCAAACTGCACAAACTTCCTGCGCAAGAGAATTCACATCTGTGGATGTAGAAAAATCCTGCTAGTTTGTGTAGTCTGCTGCTCAGATTGTTCCACCAATATCGTTATCAATCTATAAATTCCCATCTGTGGATGGAGGAGGTATAGAAGGCTACTTATATTGATGCAATTTTTGATCAAACTGTCGTCTTAAGATCTCTCATACAAACTGAGCAGCTGTGGCTTGCCCAATTTGCACAGTAGATCCCAAAACTTGATCAAAAAACTTTGTATGATCGAGCAGTGATACTATATGCCCTGGATCATACTTAAACAGATAAAATATGCAAGAAAATTTCATGTTGCAGCTTTATCAAATAACAGAAAATTTATATACAGATTTGTTGAAACATGGATTAGATTAAGAAACAAAGCCTAGAGCTCTGATACCACATGTAAAACTATACTAGGTCTTTATAACTTAACACTAACCTTGTTCAGACATCTTGATTTCTGAAGGGATCGGCTTAGCTTCTGAGAGGATCTTCTTCTCTATGCAACACCGTAGGCTATTTCTCTAGATGGGGTGAGAGCTGAATTGAGCGTATCTTGTTGCTAGAGAAGGGACCTCTTTATATAGATGCATTACTCGAAAGCCTTGCCCATCAAGGAGCTGTCGAGTAATCTGTTTGCATTAGGAGTGGTTTGTTCAATCCATATAGGATTAGGAATTCTATTACTCTTGTATTTCAATTAGAATAGCTTCTGTACAAGAGTAATCTGATAAGTCTGAGTCTATCTCCTAATCATGCCAACCTCTCGAGTCCTCATTAGATTAGAAGACCACAATTCGTGGTTAAGACAAAAGATTGTCTTACAGAAACATATCGTAAATGGTCCATAAACTGATTAAAAGCCTTCATTTTAGTTCTCAGTAGTATCCAAATCAATATATGGATGACAATGGGTTTCTTAACTCCCAAATAAAATACATTTTTACTTTTCGCAAGTCTAAGGTTTAAGAGGTAAACTGTTATGCTATTGAATCTGTAATTATTTGTATATGGAGTTTGATCAATATCTTAATTTTTTTCAAAATCATGATTTATTGGCTAGTTTCTGCATCAACTTGCTAAGCATCCTTTAACCCCCGCACCCCCCACTGTATATTATATACCAGCACCTTTAAAGAATGCGATTGAATGGGCATCAAGACCACCAAATGCTTGGGCTGATAAGGCTGCCGCAGTTGTAAGTACCTCGGGAGACTTTGGGGGCGGCAGATCCCAATATCATCTTCGCCAAATCGGAGTGTCTCTCGACCTTCATTTTATCAACAAGCCCGAGTTTTTCTTGGATGGACTCAAGTCTCCTGAAAAGTTCGACAGTGATGGCAACTTGGTTGATGAACAGGACAAAGAGAGACTGAAGGAAATTCTTTTGGCCTTGCAGGCATTCACTTTGAGGCTTCAAACAAAGTGATGATGACAGGCGCTCCTTCGTGTTTTGAACCGCCGACTTTCTAGGTCACAACAATGGAGGTTGAGGTTTCAAGCATGAAACAGTCTCTTAAAGGTCCAGAAGTAGTTGTATTGCGAGAGTTTGAGGGTTTTTTTTCGGTCGACAAGAGATTTATTTGTTTCTGCCTTCCGACTACCTCTGCATTATAAGAGCAGTTCCAGCCATGAGCCTAGCCCAAGGCTGGGGGGAGAAAACCAAATAAAGGAGTTTCCAGCGGTGAGCCCAAGCCCGGGCAAGGTGCGGGTCCCAGCAAGTCGGGCTGGCCCGAAGGCTAGTTCAGCCCGAGGTCCAACTCGCAGGTTGGATGACGTCATACGCGATGTCAGCGCTACAGTGCTCCATGTGCTACAGTGCTGCTAAAGTCCACATGTCGCGCTCAGGGCTCTCCGATCAAATTTTTTTCTCCAATCCAATGGCAGCCAATTTTTGTGCAATAAAAAAATGAAAAAAAATCGAATTTTTTTTTTCTATAAATACCAAAATTTTATCTGATTGAGATAACAAAAAAAATTGAAAATAATCTACAAAAAAATGTGAAAAAAATTCGAATAATTATTTAAAAATTCACCAAAAAGTTCTGAACTGTTTTTCTATAAATACCTACCATTCTTCTTCATTTTCAACACAAAATCCTCTTATAATTTCTTCTCCTTCTATTATTTTTCATTTTCTACACAAAATTTTCAACACATTCAATACATCAAACAAAATATAATTAAAAGAAATCTTATCCGAAATATTCTCAAAATTAATTCTTTAGGTTTTAAAAACAAAATATTATCCGAAAATATTATTGAGGTAAAAAAATTTGTGAAAAAAACAAAAAAATGAATAGTAATTGCCCTTAGCCATGGCAACGGGTGGAAACACAAAATTTACTATTTGCAATGGCAACCACTATTCACGTGAATAGTTGCTGCCCTAGCTCCCCCCTTGCCATGGCTAAGGGCAAATGGGTGGAGTTGCTCT